CCAAATATGTTATGAGAAGAAGTTTTTGTCTCCACAACTTTCTCAACAAAATAACTTCTCTCATCAACGGAAGCCCTGCCAGGGCAAAAGTTCCTACACAGAGGCTGCGGTAGATCTGGAACAGCCACCCATCTGACAAGTCTGCTCGTCAACAGTTTCCTGTTCAACTCTGATAAACATCAGAATATTTGTTTAAAAAAAAAAATTAACTTAGTTAGTATGATTTGGTGGAAGGGCAACAAGTTATAACTCCCCCCCCCAAAAAAATCTTGGTCTTTTCAAGTCAGTGGTTTTGCCTAACTTGGGGGCCATCCAAAGTTTTCAATATTTTCATGCTCTCACAAAGCGTACAAGGGAGTAGGGGGTTGTAGGCCGCGTATGATTTTTCGGGTCCTGTAAAATGTAGATTTTTTAGTAGTATTCTCATTTATATGTAAAGCATGAAAAGTCAAGGAAAAGCAAGCATTACATGTAATCGCCAGTTGTGCGCTGAAAGCTTGTTCCTAAGTATGCAAGGTTTGCATGCATCGTGCATGTACATGTACTTTCCATGTACTTTAGGCCTACCCGCCATGATGCCTGGTGCAGCTCGGTACACACCATGTTGATATGATGTACTGCACGCGTGTGCAAATGTACATGCCTGGCCTGTGATTTTGAGCTGTGAGCTCATCGTGGCACATTGGTCCCAATGTGGTATCCATTTTTACCCACATAATTTTGTTGTAGTACCGGGGACGTGATCTTCAGTGATTAGAAGAATGTTTATATATCAATAATGTATCTAAATGTTTTTCATATTGATTCTGTTTCTTTTTAAAACATGAAGGTTTTCAAAAATGTTTATCTGTGTGCTTAATAATGGGCACTTTCCAACAATCTAGTGCCTATGGGAGTTTGTCGATATTTCAGGATACTGATAGAAAAATGTTGATAATTAAGTACTAATTGGGGGAGAGAGGGGGGGCCTTCAAATGGTACTCTGTGTACTACTATGAAAATGTTGAAAACTTTGAACGAACCCCCTAAACTAATGTATTTTTTTCTAAAGTAAGCATGGTGCTGTAATGATCGTAGACTATGTTTTTTAAAAATTAAAATTAAGCCTCAACAGAGAGACACTTGAAGTTTGAATGATTTAGCCTTTGCTGGAGAATTCGACAATCAAGAGGTTTTATGTACTTAAATAAGTATGTTCCCGAATCGGTTTGTAATGGTTCGGTCCAGGTAGCCGTTTTGTTTACTAAGGTTGATTGAGGACAAGTTGAGTGATGACTATTTGGTTGCTACTGGTCAAATCTCTCTGGTAACCTGTGCACAACATGTGCAGTGGACACCATGCAAAATCCACCACTGGTTGACAGATGGTTCTCACTCAAACTTGGCCTCAGATTTGCAGGGTGTGTGAGGCTGTTGTAAGATCTGATTACTGTTAGATTTTATGTAAGATATGCATGGTTAACTAATGTCTTAAATTATTAACAGTGAGATGAATTAATTGACAGGAGTAGGCCTTAGCCTGCAGATGTTCCCTTAAAGGTAATCAATATTAACTTTTACCAAACTATTGTATTTTTGTAGCGCATCTAACAGAAAAGCTTTTTCCCCTCCAAACTTTTTAGCCAACTGTAAATAAGCGAAAGCCTTGCTTATGATTAAGTTAAATACTAGGAGCTGATTTGCAGACTTCCACTTAGTGTAGTCCTAGCTATTAGCATCTTCTGTTTACTGTAATTTATTCTCTAACCTTATGACATTTTTTTGCTGGGTGAATGTGACTATCTTTGCTGTTTCCTTGCTCCCTCTTGGAAACTTTAAGCTAGCACTGTCTGTGTCGTTTTCATGAGGACATGGGCGACAAGGCCGCAAGCCATGGCAGAAGCAGAAGACTAGGAGAGAGAGGAAGGCTAAGATCTGCTGAGAAATTGAAGTCGACAACCACAGCATGACTAGCTAAAGGTTAGAAACTAGTGGGCACACAGGGAAGTAAAGGTTTTGCTTTTGACTTGAAACAGGAGGTTGAGAATTCACCCTCCTGTTTCATCTGTTTGCTTTTGTTTGTTTTTTTAGGATGTTGGTTGAGATGAGGCTGTAGGTCTTGTTTGTCACGATGCCTTTTCGTTTTGTCTATTTTCAAAGGTTTTGAGACTTATTTTCAAAATGGATTTTGCAAAAGGGATCCAACAGAAAATGCAGTCAACTTCAAGAGCATGCTTGTAATAAACGCATGTACTATTTTAAACAAATCCTGAAACTTCCTCAGTCCCTTGAATTCTTTTGATTTCTATGTTGTCTGTCTCTCTTTTTTCCAGTTCATTTGTAACAGGTTGGTAATAGCAAGGTCATTTTGCTGGTCTCAGCAACCTTGCAGTAGAAACAAGAGTTGACTGCAGTTTCCCTTTTTTCCTTGGACTTTTACAAGGAGATATCTGCATTCAACCTCAAGGCATCTGCCTGGTCATTGACTTTGAACTTTGATCTATTTTTCTTTGCACTTGTTTTCTCTTGTCTTGTTCATGTTATCACTGGCACTTCTGCACACGTCTGGTAACAGTTGTCACTCATTTTGAAGATAATACAGGAGCTTGGTCGGCAATTTGGTATAGTTCATAGTTTCACATAATATTTATACTGGCAAAAGTTCTTCTGTCGAAACTTGTAGTGTGTTAATCTCACACCTTTACCTACGGTTGACACTTGTTTAAGACTAACTGTAATGTCTTTTGAAATTAGGACTGCCTTGGAGTTCAAAGTTACTTAGTTGAGCTGACAACAAAAACAAGTTTATGAGTGATACCTAACTTGTATGATTTCTTTATGTGGAGTTTCACGTGTTGCTTAACACTGCCTTTATTTCAGGCATTTGAATACATAATTTTTTTTTTCAAATTTGATGCTTAATGCTGCCTTTACGCATTTGAGAAAAGAGCGTATGACTGGCAACAGAGAGGCAACATTAATGGCAAAAAGATGTTGCATTTTCTAGAAGGCCCATACAGGGAGGGGGGCATTTCAATCCCCAATTTGAAAGGGAGGGGGCATAACGGTAGAAATGAAGGAATAAAATTCCCAGCCAAGTCTTGCTTTTGAAGTTCTTTATTGCAAAATGTACACAACCAAGTTGATACACGCCATACCAGTGCTGGTGTTACACATGGGCACTTTAGATCTTATATTCATACAAGGTTAATAATGCAGGAATTGCACCCTTTTGCTGCACTGCACTCATCAGTTTGTCAGCATGATAAATCTGAATAGACACATATGGGCTTACATGTTCTTACAACAACAGCATTCAGTTAAAAGACTGCTGCAATATTTTACACTTCATGTTTTTGTATTTACAGGTTCAAAAATACAATGACAGATGTCGAGGGTTTGCATAAGGTACAGAGACCAAAAATATAATTGTGGTACTTCAGAACACCACAAAACCTTTGAATTGATTTTGGAATTTACTCTGGAAATGCTGGGCAGTAAGGCTTCACAGACTCCTCTCTGATTGTTTTGTTCTGTTAGAATTAATGGGTTTTTAATCTTGTATAAGCTGTGTTGCTAGAGCCCTTGCATGCCAAATTGCTGTAACAATGAACAAAAGCAGAAATTGTCAGTACAAATAAATTTAGTTTTGATACACAGATATCTAGATTTATGGGACTGCAATTTACTCTGGTGAATGTGTATAACTTAATGGACATTTCTCAGAGATGATACCACACTGTTCACCCTTCAGTTTTGGCCCATGTGGCCCACATGCAGATTCTTACAACTAGCGAGTTCAAAACCCAGTAATTACTTGGCCCATGGGTGTGGACAGCACAACTTGGTTGTGGACGGAGTCACTTCTCTCCTTCATTTGACCATTAAAAATTGGCGAGTTAGCAAAGTTGTGTCAGAAGTGTCGGCCGATTCAGGCACTTTCAAATAGCTGTGGGAAAAGTCCCCTTTAATATATAAATAATGCTCTACTTGTTAAGCCTGCTCCAACAATATACGTTTACATGTATATTCTACAATATAATCAGCATGTTTTAACACACTTCTTGGAATGGATGTACTTTATTAGTTATCCCACGAACACAAGTGGAACACAGAGAAGTGTAGTGCATCTGTGTCCAGTATGCCACTTGGTATACTGGACACTGAGGCATGAGCACAGTCTTCAAGTCAAGTAAGTTTATCTTCAAGTAAACTTGACATGCAGTGAAGAAAGTAAAGGGGCTTATGCGCACTTTACTTAAAAAAAGAAGACAAAAGACATCACACAGCGCACAGCAAAAACAGTAACACCGATGTACCACAATGCTCCAATTTTATCTGGGGAGCACTGGAATGACATGTATTTGTGTTTTAACTTATTTCAATAACAACAAAAACAGGGCTTACACTAAGAAAGGAAATTGTCAGAATTGTACGTGCATTTAAACACGTGACAATCAGCACAGGCAAACACGTCGCTTTTGAATTTACAGTCATGCAGATGTGCGTTTGCTTTTAGTGTAAAAATAGGGCAATGCGTTTAGTTAGAACAGCGCATTACGCAGGGTTTGATATGAAAGGTGCAATACAGTTATATATCACACTGTTTCTATGGATTGACCAATTAGAACTGAGAATTCAAGTTTGCCTGAAGATAAGGATGGTTATTACCTGTGTTCAGGACACATAAATCCCAAATCACTGTGTAGCAGTCCACCATATTTCAATGGTAGCCACTGCAGCAGTACTTTCATTAATGACACCGTCTCCTGTTCATTTAACAGCGCTTTTAACTCATGACTACGGTAGATATTTTGCAATAGACTTGTTCCATAATGACACCATACTTTGTATACATGCATGCTTTCCTATGGCATTGCGGTGGGACATGATTCACCGAGTCCCCCTTAGAAAAGCGCACAAAGCATGATGACATTATGCTTTAAGCTCGTCATTGTTAGCTGCAAATAATTGCTGAAGTGTTCTGTTCTAGTACAAAGAGACAATGTACCCTAGTGAGTGATCCATTGCTTCTGTACTGCACAGCCATGAGCAGCGTGTTTCATCACAGTAACCTCAAAATGGCTGTGAAGTAATGAAAAAGGTGAAAGACATCCTCGACAGCAAGTGTCAAAATGCATACGAGTTTTTACGGTTACAAAAGACTTGTACTGTGGCAACCGATTTTGCCGCTATGCAACATGTTAGGTAACAAATACAAAATTGTACATGCAATACAAATTCTTACATGCTATCATATATTACGATTCAAAGACCTTCCCACGACATGAATAGAAAAATAAACATTTTAAGCCCTGTAACTCTTTTTTCCTTGGCTCCCAGTACCAATTACCATTCATTATACTGTACAAAATTCAAAATAAAATGCCAAGTGAAATTGTTTCGAGTGAAAATGTTTTTGAAACGTAATATATGCGGGAATAAACTTTGCAGCTATAAATGATGTACAGCTAGCAAAAGGATAATCAACAAATAAAAAGGAAATGTTAATATATTAGTTACATATAGATGGCTTATAAAGTGGATTTAAATGAACCATATATTTTGTGTTGGTTAACACGTTGACTGCCTCGCACAATCTCGAATGGGCGTTCCCATTTGCCAAGTGCTGTACACATACGTGCATATTTAGTAGGTACCTTTCAGGTGTCTGTTTGAACTTGGATATTTTACACATGTATGTCCTCACACTGCCAGCAGTGTATTTGTTGTGTTTGTCAGTGATGCCAGTGTACTCAACTCACATTACAATAGCCTATCATTTCCTATGAGTATACTCGTACTGGCAGAATTCAGTACACCTGACTATGAGGCAGTCAACGTGTTCAAACCCAACAGTGGTTTAATACATCAGCTGGGCAAACTTGCAGTTCTGGCAAAGGCAAGCAGGAATGTTTCCCATTGGCCCACGTGTATACAAAAGTTCCAAGTGTCATGCACTATGTGCACATAAAACTACCGTGTATTGGGCGACACACAGGTATTACACAGCTTGTTTGATACACAGTGTGGGTATGCTCTGTTCAGGACACCCCTTTTCTCTCTCTCGTCAATTCTGAACAGGTGCAAATATGTGGGGAAAAGTTTGCCTTTGCCATTCTGCTAGGATTGAAACACGAGCCCTGCTATGTTGAATCATTTATTGGAAGTCACTGCTGCCACAAAAGCAGTTTGCAGCAATTCTTTGTATTTTACATTTCTCAAAATGTTTGCCCTCATTTAAATTCCCTCAATGACGGAGAATAACAAAAAATTTGTAAAAAAAGAAAAAAAAGCATGCTGAATTCCAGTCGACAATGGACAAGTTCAGCAAGCCTGCCTTTTTTTAATCATATCAAATTAAACAATGTGTTAACATTGAGCACCCTGTTGGTTGGTTTCAATCCACTATTGGAATCAACCACATTATTCCTAGTGCGTTTCCAACAAAAATGGAATAATGCACTATTCGTCTATGTCCTTTTTGACGCAAGCAGGTGCGTGGGACTGCTCAATTACCAAGCCAACTACGCCTCTGTTTAATTTACTGCACATGGTAATCTCACTAGCAATTATTTACAATTTCAGCTGCTGGAATGCTGTGAAGTATGCGGCCGTTCTGTGGTATAGACTCCCAAAAATACATCACTGGAAATGTTTCAAACCACAGACAGTCGAGTGTAAATACCACATGGCATCTGCACACGAAGTTTTGCCTTGCCTGTGTACAATGATACTTGCCTCAGCTGACTTCAGCTTGATCATAATTCTTTGTCCTTTCTGGTGCAGAATGACTCATACTTTTACTTTTAATTATGGGACCCGAGGTTGAATCTTGTTTCTCGTGGTGCATACAAAAAATTATCTAAATAGCAACAAAATACGGTAGATTTCTGGTACACTGCAAAACATAGGCCAATTTCCACCTTATTTGTACCCTTTTAATCCATTTCATCTGAATAAACTAGAATTAGCACAAATTTAACTAGAAAGTATTCTCATTAACTGAAGTACACACAGTAGATACATGTAGTTGAACTTAATTTGCACATTTCATTTTGTAAAGATCACATGGGTCAAAAGGTTTTAAACTTAGATTGGTTTCCAAATTCAATATAAAATGGTACTGTTTTCTACCAATCTCCCTCCACATTACCTTTTCACATGTTTGACAAGAGTGCTCGGAGCTGTTTGTAGAGAAAGGCAGTGTGGGCAAAACATGTAGCTGATACGACACAAACACTGACAATCAATGGCTGCATCTGAATCTCTTGTCTAGAGCTAGGTCTAGGTCTTCGCTCCATTACAAATGCCCGGAGACGCATAGACAATAGACCTAGCCGTAGCTCTGGAAGCCCGTTTCGGAAACGACCAATCCATCACACTGTTTTTCTGCCGTGCAGATGAAGCCACACAGACCTCAAATCTATAATTTTCTGCAATGTACAGCTTTGGCCACATTTCACTATCTGCTAAAGCAAGACAGGAGACATCCGCTTGCTTGAATGTTGTTGGCTTGGAAATTGGCCCGTTCTCTGCATGATCTGAAGTCACTGGCATGGTCTGATGGGATGAAACCCGAGACTGGGGAATCAGTGGCCATGTCTTGTGTCCTTGAAAAGGCTCTTGTGATTTCCTTCATCTCCGACATGCTGGCATCATATCCAAACTTTTGGACATCTTTCAAGGTGGTTGATACATCGTCAGAGAATTCAGAATTCTACTTGTCTAGTTGTCTCATTAACTGCACTCATGTACAATTAAGCACAGTGAACGTACCCTCTTGCCAAGCATCTATTACGTCCAACACTAAGCTTGAGCGTTGACGTGCTAAGTTTTGTTCTGAAAAAAATCCCGTCTTGGTGTGTGGTGTGATTAAATATGCCAAATGAGACTGCACGCATTATTCATGAGGGATGTGGCCTGTTTTGCTTCAGCGCACCATACTGTGTAATGTGCTGTCCACAGTACTATTTTGGAGCAGTCAGTATTGAGTGAGACAGTCACACTGATCATGAGACGTGGCTGGTATTGTTCAGTGCTGGACACAGCGTGGCCAACTCAGTCCTCCGCATGCGGCCGAAATGATGAAGTAGATAATAAGCTGTGATAAAAACAGAGGAAATTCTTACAGTAATTGAAAGTTGACTGCATTTTCAACCATGCTTTTTCTGAAGACATTGAGCTGTCAGACTTTGTTACCATTTGTTTTAACACAATGTGAATTTCTGCTAGCTGAGATGGGTGGTTTGAAGGAATGACACAGTTAACCGCATGTTTGAGTCATAAAACGAGTGCCACACGGGCATAATATCAAATGCACTCATAACCGTAACCTCCTAGGGACCACTGAAATCCTGCATAACCTTGTTGGCTTAGGGTTTTAAATTAAAGGAAACCACTTTCATGCTGCTTTCCACCTTGTCTGTATACTCCATAACTATAAACACCTAAAGGCTCACAATGTACACTTGCATTATCACTGTACATGTACACCCTTTGTGCGACTGTCACAAGCACTCTGAGTACTTATAAAGAATTCAATATTTTACCACATGGAACTCCAGACTACATTCAGTTTAAACTCAAAATTTGTTCAAGACGTATCATTGAAAAAAACAAATGATAACGAAAACAAAATGATCAAACGTACAGTTATAATGACAACCAAAATAACGATCAATTTGACGTTCTTGATGCACATGGACCGGGCCAGTGTTTTACTGCTCTTCCTGAACGTGAGAGACTGCAAGAAATTCATAGAATACAAGTTATTAAAAGCACAGTACAACACAGTTACAACTACATAGCACCAAGGGCAACAATGTTACTGATGGTGAATTGTGAAAGCTGAAATGTCTGAAGTTTTTCCCCTGAGGTTGCACAGACTTTGAAATTATGTATAACATTCCTGGCATGAGACACTTGAATTTATTCAGAACCCACAAAGGCAGTTGGAGGTTTACTGGGGATAGGAAAAGTTGCTGAACATTTCTTTATGCCTGACTGCACTTGAGCCAAACTTACCGTGGTTTCCAAATCTTCTGTCTTGTCAATCAACAGCTCTAACCTTTCTCCTCTATTGGACAGTGATTCTGTTGGGTGTAAAGATAACAAAAGGTTTGAGAGTGCAAGACTTGGTTTTTGTTGTCAAATCAATTAACGTGATTTATTGTACTGGAAGTCTTATCCACAGGCAAAATAGTTGATCAGGCTTCTATGTTGTTAGAATTGGACTAGAGTGTGAAACTCCTGATTCCTTTTGCATTGAGAGACAGAGTACAGACACAGCTGGCTTCAAGCTTTTAAAACTTTCAAACTCACCAGACAACAGGCCTATACAAGCTGACATCCTAAAACCCCTCCGTTGCAAATACTTCTCTTCATGCAAGAAACTAACTTTCATGACCAAATTGTTGCCTTACCGATGTTTCTGACCATGATGCGGTTCAGGTCTTCCATGTCGGCTTGCACGCTGCCAAGTCTATCGATAGGGGTCTCTTCTGAATAGTACCTCTGAAACCAGTCAAAAACACACCAAATAAAGAGGTTTTTTCCGGTAGGCCGAGTATGGAATACATAACACAAAGAACAAATAAATTCTGTAACATACCATTTGGTTGGCTAGAACTGGGGAAAACTCGCTGTTCATTGCATATGGAAGTGCTGTGTGGGCTCGGGACCCGTACGTCATTTGAAACCTGGGCATGAAGCAAGAGTGTATAATGTGACTTTAATGTGTCTAACAAGCTGTCTGTCATCTCCTAACCACTACATCCATTCACGTGAAAAAGAAGAATTAGCTTGTAACATGTTAAAATATTCATTATCAAGAATTACTTGGAGAGTTAATTGCTTTCAGCAATAATAAGGAGGTAAGTAAAATACAAATCCACTGGATATCTTATTTTGACCGTTACATCAATCAATAGTAAGATTCAACTTCATCAAAATACTATTCACTTTTTATATCTCCTGGAATTTAAAAGTAAAACATGAATTCCTCTGTGGTTCTGTAGTCTTGTAACTGTCATTCTATAAAGATTTGTATACGGTGATCTTACTTTCTTTTAATATCACCTAGGAACATGAAGGCTCTGGATCTTTCAAATTCCTGTCAAAAACATTTAAAAAGAAACAAAGAAATGATAAGTAGCTTGCTGAAGCCTGTCAAAACAGTAGACTGATAATCAACCCCTTCGCCCCAAAACCAACAGAGCAGTGTAGGTTTTCATCTGTAGCCCTTGCTACAATGCAACAGAGATTTACTACAGGGACCATTGAAATCAGGCATAACCTTGTTGAGTTCAGCATGGGTTGTTGGGTTAATTACAGCAGCCTATTTGGGCAAATTTGTGAGTGCCAAATTGGGGCTAGATAGCTTTGGTTGGCAGAGCAATAGTCCTCTAATCCAGAGAATGGAGGTTCAAGTCCCAAGCTTGTCAGCCTCTTTCTACTATCTTAAGTGATTCATTTAAAAACAGAAATGAAAACATAAGAAAATGAGGGTTTATTATTATTCATTTATCATTTTCCTCTACAAAAGACATACATCATCTGTGATGCACAAGTAGACAATCTTATCCTCTGAGATGTAGTGGAACAGGTAATTGTCATGTGAGTAGGTCAGCTTGGTGTTCTGTGGAGGAACCTTGGGAAGGATCTGGTCTGTGACCTCCATGAAGTTACCCTGACAAGCTGCATGATTGACCAGCACGGTTGTGCCCCTTGCTACAGTTGCATACAGTACAGGCATCTTGATGGCACTCTGGTGGTAGAAGAAAGCACATTAATTACATGAACATCGAGAGAATATAAAGTGATCATGCCTTCCAAAGCAATTTTCTTTTCCAAAGTCTATTATGGGGAAGAGTTCCACATATGGATGCCAGTAATTCTTCCCTATAGTGACTTAATAGCCATCAGAATGTAAATGTAAAAACATGTCCAGAAAAGTTCATTTTAGGAGGAAAATACCAAGTCATTTACTGGAAAAACACAATTTTTCAGGTCAGTCTTATAGGATTTGTGCACAGGGTGTCAAGTGGCATCCTTACATGGAGCTCTTTCCCCATATGTACAAAATTCAAGGAAAGAAAGTAGCCTCCAAGTTTTTCTGTTTCTAGGCAATATTATGATATAGATACATGTACATGATTTACCATTTATGTTTTATCATTTAGGCTATGGGCTAACCATCATCTTAATGAAGGCAAATCATCACAGAAATTCACGCAGTTGGCGTGACCTCACTATGGACTTTTAACCCATGGCAATGGGGCAAATTTACCCATCGTGCTATTCAATAAGATACAGAAGTTCCAGGATGTCCACCGGAAGAATGCTGAAATAAAGACATAAATTTCTAACGAAGCGAACTTCCAATTTTGGGAAATAAGCCTACGTAGAAATTGTCTAAATTTCCAACTAGCCCCATTAATGTGGTCTACGGACGGTACACTGTAGTGGAGCACAGCATACCGTAGGCCACAGACTTCTAAACAATGCTTAAGTCGAGTCAGGATGCAACATTTTTCTGCTCATGTAGGCCTATGCCACTAAACGTGACATATGAACCCTTGATTGACTGTTTATCTCCCAAGCCAAGGTTGGCGCGCCAATAAGATTTCTGCAGTCTGTCGCATGTCATGTCTGTGTTCCTTGCTCTACCGACAGTCTCCGTCGAGGCGATACCTGGGTTTCAAAGAATAACATGCTAACGTAAGACCATGGAGGTAGATATTTCTACGTGTACCTCCATGCTTAGACCAGTAGTAAAAATGACCACTCACAAATTTCGTCGATCAAAACACATCAGATTGTTCCGTACTGTGTCAAAGATTTGATATTCCTCTTTTCTGGACTTTGTAAGTGTCAATAAGCACCAACGTTTTACTTAAAAATGTAGGTTAAGTGAAGCAGAGTCCGGGAAGTAAATACTGTGTCAAAAACCTGTTGCACCAACATTCGTCTGGTACCTACCCGCATCACTCGTACGAGACATACGGGACCAAATACGTCATAGTGTGCAGTATGGTAATGTACATGTACGGTGTACTTCGTCATGCATCGCATCACGCGCACGCGTCACGTGCATTCACAGCGTTGAGATTGGTTGCCAGAAAATCCCAATTACACTTACACCGTGCTTATACTGATATGCGTCAGGAAGCCTGTCTTCCCACATGCCAACTTGTACATGTACAGCGAGCTAGAAGTAGTTTCGTGTGTGCCTGGAGAATCACAGAAATTTTAACCGAAACAACGTTTGACACGGGTCCTGAAAGATGAAGAAGTTCGAAGAGATCTTGGTGGGTTTACAGGACTACTCTCAGTGTGTAACACAAATCGAATTTTGTAAAAATTAGTGTTGGCAAAAGGCTCTGATAAAACTTAGGGCTATCAGGTGTTTGAAAAATGTTTTTAACTAAGAGGGCGCTGTTTGCGCGTTGCGTGCCGCGAAAATCAAGCGAGTCCTAACACAACACGTTAGACTACCATATCTAGTTACTGCTACCGCCACGAAACCCTTGATTTTTACAATTTTAGTGTACCTATTACGTGTATTAGTTCATATTAGCCTTCAGGAAGTTCCAGGCATCAGTATCCCCAGAACTGTGGGGTCCCACGTAGGTCTACTAATACTATGTGTAGCCCCACTAGTGTGGCACGGATCCCGCTCCATCCTTAGCCACACATCCGTATGCGCAATTTCGTGTCGGCGTACTGAACATTTTCGGCGCACCCACTTATCATCGTGGGCGCAATTTCTTTTGCACACGAACATGATTCTTGACCTTTTCGCTTTCTAAAAACCATTTATTGAATTATTTCACTCACATTATTGAGGTATTTTCCAGTCTTTGCCTTTATCAATTCAATCTAATGGGCTTGATCTTAGTCGCCATCTTTAAAATAAGATTGTTGAACAATACGTCACTTGACCTCTCATCGTCTCAACGGTTCTTCCATGTCAAGATATCTAAACTGCTGCCAAAGTTTTGGAAGAGCCCATTGGTACAGAGCCGTCGAGATGATGAGAGGTCAAGTGACATATTTTTCAACGATCTTATTTTGAAGATGGCGACTGAGAGAGCGAGGCAGTTAGATTGAATGGATAAAGGCAAAAAGACATTTACAATAACAGAAATAACAAGAATGCTAATTAATGATAAAGAAAAAAAGCAACATTTCTGTTCTCGCAAAAACCTGTGTTAAAAACAACAGCCCCCTCCAAAAAACAGTACAGATGTCTGTTGAAGCCCCATTGACTGTGCCAGACTTGCCATGTCCCTTGGGGCCACAGCAGGTCAGACCCAAGTACATGTTCATGTAACCTGGTCCCTTGGCTGGTACTGAGGAGAGATAAGGTGGACAGGCCTGACTGATTGATAATTCATTACCCAGATATGCTAGGAATTTTTGGGGGGGTCCAGATTTCTCCCTCTACATCATAACAAAACCCTGTTTATTCTGCTGGTAGGTGTACACAGGTGGTGGTATCCAAGGCATGGAGCGTGGGATGGGACAGGACAGGATCAGAAAGATGCTCACAGCATGGAGCCATTTAAGTGTTCCACTGCAGAAGCAAGCATGGAAGAAGCAGTGAAGTTGTAACTGGAGGAGACAAAGCCATGCGATGCGAGCTTTGAGAGGGGCTGCAGTGAAGCAACCAACACCAGTGAACTGTTGTGCGCTCGAGGTTACTGAAGGTAAGCCATACCAAATGGCCACTCATTCATCAACCTTTCCCCGTTTCGACCGTGTAAATGGGAGCATTTGAATAATGCCCCACCACTCAAAGTGTAGCTCTTAAAATCACTGGCTTGCAGATGGAATTGAGTACATGGACTGTTAGTTGTTACTGTACATGGCAATGAGGGGAATGCGCTGGCTATGCAGCTGCAGGCATGGAGTCAGGCACTTCTGAGAAAGGAGGAATGCATAATGAACTGGATTGGTAGGAGAGTTCGTTGCCTAAAAAAGTCGGAGTCAAAAGTATGCACCTTTGAAAACGTGATCGAACAATTGAGTTTTAAACGTAATAAATAACTCAGTTCCAAAAAGAGGATGAGATTGCAACAAGTCCAAGTAACACATTTACCAACATTATTCAAATCATCACTGTACTGGTGACCATTTAAGATGGTGTGTTTACCGTGCCACAGGTTTTACAAGAGGAATTTTTACTTAGAACCCTCTACAGTTTGTTGAAGACCAGTGCAAATTTTTAGGTTTATGTTTTTAGGTTAGTGTGGTATGCAATGTGTTATACACAGTGTACATGTACAATATACAGATACTGTACTATCTCACTACAAATCCTTTTCACTTAACCCTAATCTTCAGTCTCTCATCAGTTTTTTCAAGAATCTCAAAAACCTCTTGCCCATTATCTGAAAATTTTGTGGGTGACATACAAAGGGTTTCCATGATTGCATTACAAATGTCAATAGACAAGTTGAATTATAAGAGTTGTAACTTAGGCTTTCACACTGTTCTTTTCTTAGGAAAATTTACCTCTTGAATACTTGCAATGACCTGCAACTGACCAAGGCTTGTTTGCTCAAATGCAAAACTACATGTACATGTATACATGTACTGCAAAAAATTCTATATCACATAAAAATAAAAATATCAGCACAACACTACAACAATTTCTCAAAGCAACCTTCCACCTGGTCTGGCTTGCACGTAGATGTGCATGCTATACATCTACACAAAAAAGTATGAGACGACTACCTCTCGCTCAAACATTATATAAACACAGTAAACAATTTTGGCAGCACATTATGCATGGATCTTGACTAGCAAGATATATGTATACAACTCAATACTGCCAGAAACTCAATCTCTAAATGTAAATCTAAATGTAAAGACACATAATATCCAAGTAAAATATAAATTTTAAAATGACAAAATGACATGTGACTGAGTTTGTCTTTCAAAAAATACTGCTTATTTTTCTTATACAAAACATAAACCCATATACAGCCTGTTAAAGAGAAAATGTGTTATTAGATGGGATGTACGTGTAGGGCCTACATGAATATACATGTATTGCATTGTAAGTTTTTGTGGCAATAATCTATTGAGTACAAGAGTAACCATTTTTCTCTCATTGCTAAACCCACTAACCTTAGCCTGAGTCTAATCTTGCAAAATAACCTCCTTCAGTAAACACTACTGGGTTTGGGCCCAGACCCCACCCCTCCCCCACCAAACACTAAGTACAAATACCTAAAGTACCTTTGATTTGCACTCATATCGGTACATGTATATGTACATGTATGTTCTTGCACATTGCCTGTATAAAGGGAATACTTTCAGAAGACAAAATACATGTACATGTAAATAAAGAGCGACATGTACAGTAACATTTACAGCTGCAAAAAAATGTTGTGATATTCTTTGGCAAAACAGTGAGAAGAGCATAAAACTTCTTTTGACTAGCACCTAGACATGATGTACAGGTACTAGAATAGCCGGTAAAAAGATCAGTACATGTTCATGCTTATCAAGGCAATATAGAAAGATAAATTGCAAATATGCAGGCACTTGTCATGTTCTTTACCGTACCTGTATACAGAGCTTGCGCAATGACAAACACTATGTCTTGTATGTACCACAAATAATATTCCGAAGAACCAGAATTGCCAACCAGAAAAAAATTGTGTTTTTTAGTACAGAAATTCATGAAAAGGACAATGTTCGTTTTAAAATAGCTTTCAAATGTACAGTGTGGGAGTATCATTTCACATCGTACGTCATGCCTTTAAACTGGGTTCTCAAAGCATCCAAATCAAATTGTCCATTGTCCAATTGTGCACTCAATCTGCCTCAACCTGCAGCCATACTCGCTCAATCTTCCTCAATCTGCAGCCATGCTCACTCAATCTTCCTCAACCTGCAGCCATGCTCACTCAATCTTTCTCAAGATCTACAGACATGCTTGCTCAATCTTCCTCAATATCTGCACACATGCTTGCTCAGTCTTCCCCAATATCTGCAAGTACATGTATACTATTTCAATGTTCCTCAACATCTACAGCCATGCTCATTCAATTGTCCTCAGTATCTACAGACGTGTTCAGTAAATCTTCCTCAGTCTGCAGCCATACTCGCTCAATCCCCAATATCTGCAGATGAGCTCGCTCAGTCTTTCCCAATATCTATACGCATGCTACCGTAGCTCAATGTTCCTCAATATCTACTGCCACATTCATTCAATCGTCCTCAATATCTGCAGCCATGCTTACACAACATTCCTCAATATCTGTGGCTGTGCTTGCTCCATCGTCCCCAATATCTGCAGACATGCTCACTCAGTCTTCCTCAATCTGCAGCCATGCTAACTCAATCTTCCTCAACCTGCAGCCATACATGTTGTACGTGCTAAATCTTCCTCAATCTACAGCCATACTTGCTCAATCTTCCTCAATCTGCAGCCATGCTCACTCAGTTTTCCTCAACCTGTAGCCATGCTAACTCAATCTTCCTCAATCTGCAGCCATACTCGCTCAATCTTCCTCAATCTGCAGCCATGCTCACTCAGTCTTCCTCAACCTGCAGCCATATTCGCTCAATTTTCCTCAATCTGCAGCCATACTCACTCAATTTTCCTCAATCTGCAGCCATACTCACTCAATCTTCCTCAATATCTGCAGACATGCTTGCTCAGTCTTCCCCAATATCTGCAGGTGTATACTAACTCAATGTTCCCGAATATCTACAGCCATGCTCATTCAATGGTCCTCAATATCTGCAGCCATGCTTATTCAGTCTTCCTCAACCTGTAGCCATGCTAACTCAATCTTCCTCAATTTGCAGCCATACATGTACGTGCTAAATCTTCCTTAATCTGCAGCCATACTCGCTCAATCTTCCTCAATCTGCAGCCATGCTCACTCAGTTTTCCTCAACCTGCAGCCATGCTAACTCAATCTTCCTCAATCTGCAGCCATACTCGCTCAATCTTCCTCAGTTTGCAGCCATGTTCACTCAATCTTCCTCAACCTGCAGCCATACTCACTCAATCTTCCTCAATCTGCAGCCTTACTTGCTCAATCTTCCTCAACCTGCAGCCATACTCACTCAATCTTTCTCAAGATCTACAGACATGCTTGCTCAATCTTCCTCAATCTTTAGCCATACTCACTCAATCTTTCTCAAGATCTACAGACATGCTTGCTCAATCTTCCTCAATATCTGCACACATGCTTGCTCAGTCTTCCCCAATATCTGCAAGTACATGTATACTATTTCAATGTTCCTCAACATCTACAGCCATGCTCATTCAATTGTCCTCAGTATCTGCAGACGTGTTCAGTCAATCTTCCTCAATCTGCAACCATACTCGCTCAATCCTCAATATCTGCAGACAAGCTCGCTTAGTCTTTCCCATTATCTGTATGCATGCTACCGTAGCTCAATGTTCCTCAATATCTATGTGGAGGGCGGAGAAAGTACGGGGTTCGTAACTGACACTGTTGAAATAAGGCAGAAGGGAGGCATGAGTGAATGCTGGTTATACTAGGCTGCAAGCTCTGCCAAGAATGACCAGCACCCCAACACGACCCACCCCCTGTCCACTCAACAGGACTGTGCCACTGAAATATGGGGGTGTACACAAAAGTGGGCCTACACATAACAAATTTCATGTGGGCAGTGTAGACTAGTACCCTACATCTACCGCAACGTTCATTCATTCTTCCTCAATCTGCAGCCATATTCGCTCAATCTTCATCAATCAGCAGCCTTACTCACTCAATCTTCCTCAATATCTGCAGACATGCTCGCTCAGTCTTCCCCAATATCTACAGGTATACTAACTCAATGTTCCCCAATATCTACAGCCATGCTCATCCAATCGTCCTCAATATCTGCAGCCATGCTCACTCAATCTTCCCCAATCTGCAGCCATACTCACTCAATCTTCCTCAAGATCTACAGACATGCTTGCTCTATCTTCCTCAATATCTGCAGACATGCTCCCTTAGTCTTCCCCAATATCTGCAGACGTGCTAACTCAACCTTCCTCAACCTGCAGCCATGCTAACTCAATCTTCCTCAATCTGCAGCCATGCTCACTCAGTCTTCCTCAACCTGCAGCCATGCTCACTCAATCTTCCTCAATCTTTAGCCATACTCGCTCAATCTTCCTCAAGATCTACAGACATGCTTGCTCTATCTTCCTCAATATATGCAGACATGCTCCCTTAGTCTTCCCCAATATCTGCAGACGTGCTAACTCAACCTTCCTCAACCTGCAGCCATGCTAACTCAGTCAGTCCGCAGCCCACTGAAAAGCTGTTCGTTTTATGTGCATTGTATGCATGGCATTCTGGTGGATGACCTCGCTGTGAATACTTAATGAGCTGGCGACAACGCGTGGAATGTGTTCTGAAACTTACGTTTTATTCGTCAAATGTCAATATTATTTATGTTTTATTTTAGACACTGAACCATTTTTTTATATTATCAAATCAGATTGGAAATTACGTGATATTTAGAGGGAGAATTTTACAACGGAAAAATAGCTTTAAACGTCAACGAAAGGGCCTTTAAAAACGACGAGATTTTTCATCTTTCGACTACGGCCACAACCAGATTTGATACTAACGTCACAGATAATATCACCATCTATCTAAAAATGGTTGAATTCGGGTAAATACATGTATGTACCTAGTCCAGTCAGGGCACGGACTATTCC